TCAACTTCACGCAATCATCTTCCTAAGTTATTCTCTGGGCTTAAGAAGGTGAAATGAAGGTAGCTGCTATATATACAGAGATCGATGTATAAACATAAAATCTATGATATACTATATGTAATACAAAAAAACTTGGTGCAATGAAAAAAATCAAATCTCATTAGATTAGATTTATGATGCGTTCCTTTCGATGCCATTTGAAAAGAAAAAATCTCTATCTGATCGGTAGAGGTATTGTCCCCAAGATCCGAATATCACAGTGAGGTCACTCTGCAATGAGAACTAGACACTCCTCTCTTCCTATCTTTTCACAGAACCACAATTATTTATGGTATAAGAAGGTTTAGTGAGAAACCATAATATTTCAAAGGCGACCTATATGAAATACATCGGCTAGTCCCTAGAGACCATGTCTATTTATATGTGAGAGTAGAGCGTCTAGGATAAGTTATTAGGAGGGTACCTCTCATCAAAAACATTCTATAAGGAATTATATTATAATATAATTTTTTTTCTATTGGTTAATATATGTAATTAAAATTATATTAGTTCTATTTATATCTTATCCAATTATAAAGTGTCACAAAATCTAACATTCTCCCACTTAGCCCATCAATGAAATAATTTTACTTAATTGAATTCGAAAAAAAATAAAAATATTTTATATTTGGTAATAAAATTTTAAAACAAGCCAATAAGTCTAATAAGCACAATAATAATATATTCTGTCAAACAATCAATTTAAGTCATAGTGGTTGTATGTCATCAATCACAAACTTCATTCTATGTACTATAATATTATTAGCCTTTCCTTATATCGTCCATAACAACCTTTATAATTTATTTTATCTAGATAATTTTATTTTTGTATTCAACTATAATATGCATAAACATAAATATAGACATGATAACATAAATAAATAATTTGAATTATGTAAATATAATATCAATAATAGCATCCACCTAAACTTCCATTAGCATATCTTTTATGGTTTGATCACAGGTTTAATTCTAATAAAATATTTTTAAATCTTTTATATTATAAAGTTTTAGTAAATAGATCAACAAT